AAAAAAATTAAAAATTTTTTTTATCAAAAACTATAAGTCCGGGAACTGAAAGCTTTGTTGAGACGTATACTTCGAAGTGTCCTCCACAAACTGCTGGAAAAAAACGGGTGGGGGGATCCCCCCCTTACATTAAATAAAATCATAATTGAAATAATCGTTCCTGTTCGACCATGACCACCCCTATAGCAATTCTTTATTTCAACTTTGGTTTTTATATTTTAATAGATGTTTACCAACAATGAACAAGAGCAACTTGTCTTCGTTTGACTCGATCACAGAGTTCAAGACAAAAATCCAGAACAAATTGATTATCTTGATGTACAGATCGATCTCGAATTGGAAATGAAATAAATTCAATTTCACGATTAACTATATATATATAAAATCATTATATAACTCAAACTAAATAAGACAAAAAGTATTTTCATTATGATAATAAATATGACGATACCTTCTTTCGCATGTTCTAACATAGTATCTCTATATGGTATAAATCTTTTAATTCTTCAGTTTCCATAATATTAACAATAACTTGAACACCAGCATCAAAAATCTGACGTGTTAATAATTTATGAGCATTAGGTTTTCGTCCACGTGGATATGCACTTGTTAATAAAACTTTCGGAATAATTAAATTAAATATTATTGTCAAACTTAACATAGGTAATCGAGTGCGCTGAACAATCTGGCAATGTTTATTTTCCCTTAAAACCTGAAGGGAGGTTGCCTTGGACCTTTTCTGGAAAGTTTTTGCTTGTGCGCTGTGAATGTTGTAACTGTCGTAACTCAGCCATTTATTGTCAGAAACCGCTCAAATTTTCAGGGAACACTCAAAATAAGCTAAAAAGATTAATAAAAGTGAAAAGCTTCAAACTTCTATGAAAAAAGTTAGAGATTTTATAGGAGGTTTCCAGAAAACATCTAACTTTCTATCTATCTATCTAATTCTTTGCATCAAATGCTAAAGAATAAATAGTATACTAAAAAATGAATAGTATGGATAGCCTGAATGTGATGAAGAAAGGACTAAACGAGTAAAACAGTGCAAAATGCCTTCCAGGCATAACAAAGCCGATGCTATATATGCATTTTTATTTCTTATTAAAACGAATCAACTACAGTGAATATTCGACAGAGTTCGCTGGTTGGTTACGACAAGACTAACATAATATATGTGGTAGAAAATATTGAAACAATAATCCAACTAGTGCTAACTAGAGTGGCACACCTATTGGAGGTGTTCGTTGACGGATCAATCACATTCAATAAAGAATAATCATTTTCAATAGCTGATTGTACCGAGCTTTCTGAGCTTGGGCTATTACAAATATCTCGATTACAAGCGTAGATAAAGTGATCTTCATCGAGACTACTTGGTCCTGGAAAGATCCGGACACGATTTATATCTATACTAATGGCAGAATTAAGTGAAAAATCACATGTACGATCAATGAACACACCATTGTTAACATCCGAAGTACATAAACCAGAAATACAAGTCACAGGATTGTTTGCTGCATAACAACGATTGACACTGTTTCCGATACTATTGTATAAAAATGGAGCCAAAGAATTATACAAGGGCTGGTAGTTTACAGAAACAAATCTATTGATTACTTGACGCACATAGTTCCAATCGCATTCATCGCCAGCATAACAGCGGAAGCTTATGGTATACCATAGTGTTTTTCTTTTCATTGTTTCTTGCGTTCCAAAGTAATCGAGATTGAAGCTTCACAGTGTTTCTTCTATATTCTTTTATCTTTACAGTATATAGAAAACTGTTTAATATATTTTTTGTAGAAAATTTCACGGCGCATCTTTTTAGAAAACAACAAAGCTTAGGACATAAAATTCAACTGAAATACGGGCAAAATACGAAGTGACCGACTTATTCTGAAGCACCCGTTATTTTTTAACGCCGAAGAAAAGGGCATAATATAGAAGTGTAATTTTGTGGTTTTTTCACGGTGGTTATAAGTTATATAATACTGCAAACTCTTATGACTTCTTTTTGCTTGTCTGTTTTTGTTAGAATATTTTAAAGGCTCCGATATGTTGAAGCTATTACCCTTTTTTTTACTTTCAGACCAATTAAAAAGAGAAAAACTGTAATAATATGACCGAAAATTTCATTACTGGTTTGGCTTGATCAAACAAACGAACACGCTGCTGCTGGCGCTTGCTGTAAAAGTGATAGTGCTACCAGTCATCTTGCCCTGTGCAAGATTGATCCATGTCTTTACAATAGATGAAGATATTTTTTTATCAGTCGAGTCGATAACAATATTGGTTAATCGTCGAAATTCAGCATCAATAAGTCGTTGAGCACCTTATCTTGTTTATGTACAATCATTAAAAAACTCCCGGCTAGTGCACCAATTTATTATCGCTTATTTCTTCTTGTGTATTCTTCCTTTCAAAACAAAGAACAATGATTCTTTTCTAAACAAAATCAGCTCCTTAAATACTCCACGTATGAGAGAACAATAGAATGAGTATAAAAGTGATAAAATGGAACGAGTAGAGGAAGAAGAAAATATGCTTATGGCAGGATGTGCCGCTCCTGACATAAAACACTTTGATATCGGTTTTTTTCGTGATCAATTTTTCAGTGAGGAATTTCAGGTCTGAATGATAAGGATTTATCGAGATATGAGTGAAATACTGAAATCACTTTCTATTTGGGAACACTGATTATTCTGTATTTATCACAACGATGTTCAACGCTTTCCTTTTCATATGCCAACATCTATGACCTTCATTTATTAGAATGAAAAAATCACAGCGAAGTGTTTTCGCTTAAGGTACTGGATCTCCAACCTTCTTTTTCTTTGATCTCATTTTCTACGAACGAATTTGTGCCACCACATTTATACTTATTTCACTTACGTCGAAGTGTTCATTACCACTTTGCATGATTCGCCTTTCAGATTTTCCGCTCTGTCCATCTTTTTACTAGTATCGATTAAAAACCATTTCGATCATGAGCAACAAAGGAACCAAGAAAGAATCATCTACAGAACTCACGCCGAAACGTTAGTTCATTATCTGTTTTTGTTAATATTGCCGTGCTGATTTTCTATTTTAGAAATTGCAATGCTCAAAGCGACTACCCAATATACTGTGAGGGGTAGGAAAACAAACACTAGTGATGTGATTTAGCTTTTCTATTGTTTTATAGAAATTCGAGAGTGGTACGCCGTAATCAGGGCTGATTTTAGCAGGGGGGTCCGGGGAGTACGGGGGGGGGGGGGGGGGGGGGGGGGGGGGGGGGGGGGGGGGGGGGGGGGGGGGGGGGGGGGGGGGGGGGGGGGGGGGGGGGGGGGGGGGNGCTGGGATTTAGCTTTTCTATTGGTTTAACCCACTGCGCGCGGGGCACGCCGTAACCCGGGCCGCTTTTAGCCGGGGGGGGGTCCGGGGCGTACCCCCCCCCCCCCAATAACTGAAAATAATTTTTTTTCGCCAGTTAAATGAAAATAAAATTTTGCAAAAAAACCTTGCGCAGCGAAAAGTTTTGATTTAACCCCCCCAAAATATTTTTTAGAGAAAATCGTTAAAAATATTTTGACCTCCCTACCCAATTCTGAGTACCTCGCGCCAGCCCTGGCGGTAATTGATTGCATAGATATTGTTTTCATGAATTCAATTTCGTTTGTAGAGTTTTTTTCGTGAGTCTCCAAACGGCAAACTCAACAAAAACTAATTTATTCAAATGTACAAAAAAAATTATTTGCACGGCAAAGCAGATACTTACTGCAAGTAAGTCAAAAGATTTTTTTGATTTCATCTTGTCTTACTCTCGACTAAAGCCTTGCATTTTCCACGTTTGATGCTAATCGCGATGGAGTGATTGACTTCAACGAATTCCTCCTCGCTGTTGCTGCTACCTGTCAAGGCGATTTGGATGATCGACTCGAAGTTGCATTCGATATGTGAGCTTGATTGAGTTAGCTTCTCTATACTTTTTCTGTCATTCAGATGCGATACTTCAGATGACAGATAAATCGATCGAAAAGAATTGGCTACAATGATTCGGCTATGGTACGATATCAATATTTCTACTTTCATTCTTGCCTTTCATGAAGCAAAATATACTTATTTTAAGTATGATCTCCTGGGCGAAATCGATCGAAAAGGAGATAATGATCCTAAGAAGCGTACTGTAGAAATCATTGACAGATTCGATGTCAGTGGAGATAGAAAACTGAACAAGTACGAGTTCATAGTTGGGTATGTTATGGAGATGTACTCAAACATTAACTGACCATGTTCCTCTTTTAGATGCAAAAACGATCCAGTCATTCGTCGTTTGTTGGCGCCCAACGTTTGAGAGCCATTTTCATTGTCGATCCCATGTAAAGTCATTGCGTCTGAAAAGACGCGTTTATTTTGAAAAAGACACATCTAAACGCGTTTTTTTCAGAAAAAAATGGTCAGACGCGTTGTACCGAGATGCGTTTAGACGCGTCTAGCACTTTTTATTAAAAAAGACGCGTCTTAACGCGCTTTACCAAAAGAAGTCTCCCAGACGCGTCTGGAATTTTTGTTAAAAAAGACGCGTCTGAACGCGGTTTTTTCTTAAAACGTTTGTCAGACGCGTCCGCCACTGTTTATAAAAAAAAAACGCGTCTTAACGCGCTTTGCCAAGAGAAA